ATTTTAAAATTTTATGAAAAAGTAAAGTGCTTTTAGCTATCCGGCAAGGCCATATCATAAGTGACAACTGACAAGTGCTTTAAGCGCTGAATCCGATTGCCGGCATTTGTTTTTATCGGACAGCGATTGTTCCGATACTCGTGCCTTCGTCGTTTCTTTGTAAAATTACCTCTGCAAGTAAATTTGCACAATTTAGCAGTAAATAAAGTTGGGAAATGACGAATGAAACCACAAATGCCGCTGACCGACTTAAGCTCGGTCCGCGTGAAAATGTTACGTATCCCATAGTAATGAAATATTGCGGACACTGCTCCATGCCAATAGAGGTAAGTGAACTTAAGCCCATTTTCGAAAAGTGTATCTGTTCATTAAGGAAATGGTTTTGCAGTACTGCGAATACTATCCCGAATACGACAAATGTAAGGAATGGTTGGAGCGCAATCTGCCCGATGATTTCGAGCGCCTTAAAATTGAGGAAGAACAGGCAGCTGCTGATGGCACAGACGATGACAAGAAGCGTCAAAAACGGGGCGGCAAGGGTCTGCTGCGCGTTAAAAAGAAGGAAGATGTCCCCAAACGCATTTGTGTCTCCCGTGCTGCCCGCGGCAAAAAGAAGTCGGTGACAGTGGTTACCGGATTAAGTACCTTTGGTAGGCAGTGTTACGCTTGTAATTGTGCATGAAAAGACTTTATAAAATGTCTCATCCATTTGCAGATATCGATCTGAAAGTGGCTGCCAAGTTTTTTGGTACGAAATTCGCTTGCGGATCGTCAGTGACTGGAGATGATGAAATTGTCATTCAGGGCGATGTTAAAGATGATTTGTTTGAAGTTATCCCCGAAAAATGGGCTGAGATTGATGAGGATGTTATTGAGGATCTTGGCGATCTGAAGCGTTAATCGAAAATATAGCTGCCAATAGCAATTATTGTCCTGCTTAAGAAGTGTGCTTATTTTATACGCATATTACTTCAAATAAAAAATGATTTAATCTCTCTCTAGTATATATGTATAGTTTTTTATGTCGGTGCTTGTTGGTTAGCTTGTACCGGTTCCGTGGTAGTATTCGAGAAGTGCTTATGCGTTAGCTGGATGATAGCCTCGTTCTCCTCGTCAGTGAGTGGGACTTTATTATCGTCAATAAGCTGCAAGAAGATAAGTGCAAAACATTTAATATTTACAAGTTTATCTTAAGAGCATAGATGTGTTTACCAGTTGTGTATGCAGGGCACTGGTGGGAGGATCATTAACCATTTGAAGCTGCTCATGTGGCATCAGCCTATAGATGGCCAAGTCACACAGATAGTTTTTAATGGATTCACGTGTTTGTGTTTTACAAGGCGATTCTTCCAGGTACTGTAGAGCCTCGTACGTGACCGTTGCGAGATTGTGCATACCCCATTTCTTTTTGGTGCCCTTTATATGTTGTAGTATTTGCATCACCTCAAAATTTGTGATATACGAGTATGTGGCATTTACCCTATTAATATTTGCACGGATTAATATTATTAACTAGATCGTTCAATATCTTACTTACGTCTCCATGCTGCTTAATTAATTCATAGCCATAAACAATTTGTAAACAAGCACGATAACCACACACGAGTTCCACCGATTGGAAGTGGTATCGACCATTAAGTAATCGATGAAAACATTTCCAAACACGCACGAGTATCGGACAAAAAACTGTGCAGAAGTATTGGCGCGAATAACAAACGTTTCGATTATTATTAAAAGTCACACAAGATTATTAAACCGCATAGTAGGCGTGCTAACATAGTGTCACATTTGTTTGAAATCCAAGTAGCTAACAAATTTATAGTCATATTCGTTTAAACCCATTTGTTTTGTGTAGGGCTATACATCGATTTTTCGATAAATTTTTTTTTATTTATTACAACTCGGCTTTTGCTCTTTAAACATTTTTTTTCCAAATTCAGTACCAAAAATATAATGGGGGTCGCGGATACAGATAAAAAACCAACCAAAGACACAATTGACGTTAGGGTCCCAAGGCCCAGATATCGCTCACTCTTTAAGCGCCGCACAACGCAATTGAGCACGTCTTATTTGCACTTCAACTTGTGCAGCAATTTGCATCGGCAATGGAATCGACGCCGCATGCGTCGCCTAGTTTTGGCCGATAAGAGTGACTCCTTAAATCGTCGCAAGGATTTTAAACAGAAGCTGTGGTCATATTTCATCTACTCGCTGATGCCCATGCTCCTGGTCATAGGCTTCAGCAGCTTTATGACATATTATCAAAATGCAGAAGTCTTCACGAAGTTCATGCAGCGTTACACTACTCAATACCAGGCCACCGTGCACAACAAGCTTAACTATTGTGACCGCACGATGCCGTTGCAGGACATGTTTGAGCACATCCAAGGCGCAGTCATCAATCAGGAGATAGCGTTGAAGCAACTCGAACAGGCTCTGGCCAACCAAAGTTTCCAATCCATTGCGCTAGTCGGCACCTCGGGTGTGGGCAAGACCCTGACAATGCGCAAACTATTGGAGAAATATCCGTGGCCAGAGAATGTTCAGACCATTGCATGGAACGACTATGAGCTGATTGACAACGACGCGCGCTACAAGGCCGTTGGGAAAACTTTGGGCAATCTGGCGCATTGTGGTCGAAACTTAATCATTATTGACAACATGGCCATGTGTGATTTGGAGTACATGGCATCAATAAATAGTATGGTGCAGTCGAACTCCAAAGTGGCCAACGGCACCAACGACTCTGACAAGAAGCATCTGACCATCATCTACGTATTCAATGTGAATAGCATGTTACCCGAGGAGCTCTACAGTGAGCAGCTGAAGATGCTGAAGCAGGTGGAGACCACAGCAATGATAGTCTATCGCATGTTTGGGCCCAAAGATCTGGAGGCCTGCGTGCGTCACGAGCAGCGACTGTTGGACCTCAAAATGGATGAGCGTCATATCGAAGACATGGTCAATACAACCGATGTCAAAATATCTGGCTGCAAGACCGTACGTGCCAAGGTTCTGGTCCTGGGACATCCTCTAATGACGGAAGAGAAGATGCACAACAAGTTGAAATTCATTCCGGATGAAGGGCAATAGCTTTCCCAATTTTCAAGTAGTTTAGTTTTAGTTCTATATATATTAGCTTAAATATTGTCTTTTTGGCATTTAGTTTGTTAAACAAAAAAAAAATCTTAATTTAGGGTTTAGAGATTAGGGGCAAGATATTAGGTATTACAGTCCGCTAAAATTCGAGTGTTACGTAGTATCTGCATGTATGCTTGTGATTGCACTAAAGACTCTAAATTATATTTCGATTATAGGTTTTAGATTATATTATTTAGGGCATTTTAATTATAGCTTAACATGAAGCTCATTAGAGTTTCGCGATCGCTGGACAACTGAGACTGAGAAGCCTTCTGCGTATAAGTTCCTAATGTAATTCAACATCTCTGATTGTGATCATACTTTAACTCTAGTGATAAATAAAAAAAATTACAAGGCGAACTGAATAAAAGTGTATTTATATGTGAATATTTAAAGAAGTCTTAATTTTTGGGGCCGGTATCCGAAGTGTAACAGAAATTTAAATACACACACGACATATAGCTATAATTTAGGTTCTCTAGTTTTAAAGATATTGAAACTGATTGTCGGTAAGTTTTTATCGATAACATGAAAACAATGTTATCGTTATCGTTTTTAAAACACAAACTTGCTCTGCAAGTGACATACACGGTCTTTAACTCTTATACTGAGGCCGATGCGTTCATACATATGCACGGACAGACAGACAGGCAGGCTGGGCTAAATCGACCCAACTGATCAAGCATTGTATATACATATATCTGTCCCATTATGGAGCTCACGCCTTCTCTTGCCTGTTACATATATTTACCAACACTATTATACCCTGATTTGACATTTCAATGAGTTTTAAAATGGGAATTTGAATCTTAGGAGCACTGGTGAATAGAGTCGCAGCATTGTCTGCCTTCAAATTTGGAACCGAGTATGTATATAGTATTTTGTTAAATTACAGTATGTTACTTGTTTGTTAGAATCCCTTCTTCTCTTGTCTTCAAAATTAAATTTCGTATATGTTTCGACAGATCTCTCTAAATATAACCATTTTTTCATTCTGTTTTATCAGTAAGCAAAAGAAAATCTCTTGAAGTCGTGTGAAAAAGTGACGAAAATCTGCAGTCCAAAGGAGAGAACGGTACTCCGCGTTGGTCGTACATTCCGAAAAAACAAAAATTTATATAACTTGAGTATATAAGTATTTTATATAATTTTTCTGACCGACTACATATATATTGAGTTGGCATAACAAAAAGCAAACATAAAAAAATATAAAAAAAAATCCTGAAAAAGTTGCAGCATTTACATAGCTCCTTGAAGATGGCCCAATATGAGGAAATTGGAAATGTGAACATCTGGTGGTTCCCCGAGGACTTTTGCCAATCCCGCTTTGGGGACTATCGTAAGAGCGGAACAAATTCTTGCACCCTGATCTCTTTAATATTAGCCGATAAGGTGTCCAAGATGCCAAGTCTCAGCCAAAACGTGAAGGAGCTACCGGAAAAGGCCTGGGATCTCATTGGCGATTCGATCAATGAGGGCAATATTGTCTATCATGATCAAATTTCGGCTAATCTCAATATTAATATACCGGATGCTATGGCAGCTATACGCTCTCATCACAAGATCAACTTTCTCCTCGAGGAATGGTTCTTCACCCAGGTGGGCTCCGATCCGCTTAGCCCAATGATTGTCGGCGTTGAGTTGTCACGCATCTTTACCACTACTCTGGATGCCATCAAGCAGGTCGACGGCGGGGAAATGCCGTCCCAGCTGTTTGCTGCCATCGTCGCTGATTGCCGCACCGTCATAGTGAGCATCGACCTGCGTACCTCGATCGCATTCATTGTCGATTCGCATCAGCATGGCAATAATGCTGGTGCCTTCTTTGCCCAGAGCGACGCGCATTATATAAGCGATTTAATGTTCTGGTTCATCAGCATGCTGGATCATATCTTTTCCAGTCATCCGGCTATCTTTGAGATATCCTTTCTGTGTGCTATGCCAGATATCGCACTTCGAATTCCTCCAGCTGTCAAGCAACACGCCAACAATATTTGCAAATTCAAAAAATCATCGAAGACAGCCTAGCTCTTCCTTGAGTCACATTGTTAATTTCACTTGAAACAAATTTCCTATCGAATTTGAAGACCCACCCATAGACACGAAACCCGTTTAATCCCCTTCGTTGTTGAAGTTGAATTTCTAAGTTATTGTTTCTGTTAATTAACACAAATATGTAACCGGCAGTAATATCCCCATATAATTTAATAAATTTGTATTTTTTGTGTTAAGGTTAGAGTTATTATTTTTCGACAGCAATAGATACATAGATAGATATATATGAATATATCAGATTCTAGATATTCGGCCCTATCTCTAGCGACAATTACTATATACAGTACTAATATATATAGTTCAAAGTCCAATAAAATATTTATATTTTGAAAACTTCATTATTAACTTGCATCAAAGTTAGTTAGAAATCTAGAATCTAGAATAATTGATGATGACCAAAGTATTCTTATGAAGAGATTTTATTACGTCTGTTTATATTTTGGTATTTCATTTATTTTTTCGAAAAAAAAAGTTGCGGTTTTTGATTTATTATTGTATAAGGTAGTTGTAGGTAGCATATAAATTTATATAACATACGATATACATACGATATATATATATGTAAAAAAGACATAGCTAGCTTAAATACTTTTACTTGCACATTCGTTTCGCCTTCACTTCTCGCTTCGCTTTCTTCTTTTCTGTTTTAATATTCTCTTCAAACTAATCTCACTTGAACGATACGCTAGTGTTTGTTTATGCGTGTATGAGTGTGTGTGTATGTGTGTGTGTGTGTGTGTATGCATGCTTCCCTTTAGAATCCACCAACACCGCCCTGTTTGCGTCCATCGGCATTTGCATAGATCGCTGTCGCATTGCGGCCGATGGCACAGACCACGGAAGAGGCTTTCTGGGACAATGGCTTAAGAATGTGCCCCCGCTTCCGCAGCAGACTGAGCACATTCTCTGAGAACTTTCCGTTTTCGTACTGGAGAACATTGGGAAATAGCTGATTGTAAAACCGTGGCGCATCCTCGGCCGTCTTCAGGTCTTCGCCGAACCATAGAAAGCGGGCGGCCACTTCGACTATGCCTCCCACTATCTTGGTGCCACCGGCAGCTCCAATTGCTAGACGGATATTGCCATCTCGATCCGCAAGCAGCATTGGAGACTGCGACGACATGGGGCGCTTGTGTAAATCTATTGTGTTTGCTTGCGACTGTGGCAGATTGAATATATTCTCTTTGACGGAAAAGTCGTTCATGCAATCGTTTAAGATAATGCCAGTGCGGGGTCCAATCAAACTGGAACCAAAGCTGAAAAATATAAAAAAAAGAAATTCAATATTAACCACAAAAAACGAGAATACTAAAGTAACTCAAGAGTAGCACGACTAGCAAAGGTTTCACCTAGAAGTGAAAGCGCGCCATAGATTTGAATTACTCAATTTGGCAACATCTCTCAATGCCACTCTGTATAATCGCCCAAAGCTGCACCGTACTATCGATACTATTTCAGGGCGATAGCTATTGCAGTTGTCGATCGTTATTGCGAATGGCAATATAAGTGGTAATGTAATGAACGTTAGATGGCGCTAGAGCAGAATGAGCATCTACTGTTAACGCTAATACTCACTAATTGTTGATGGAGCTAGTCACGGCAACGGCATCGCCATTCGGCGCTAGCACAGCAAAGGATGAGGTGCCATACGGATCTTCTTCGGAGCTAAGCAGTGCACCGTAATCTTGCGGGCTACCCAGCACTTGGTTGTCATTGATCTTAGCGCGCTGCTGAGCTGCATATTGGGGATTGGTGAGCTGGCTGACCAGTTCGCGAATGTCATTGAAACGCGGATCGCCCAGCTCTGGGCGATGTGCGAATCCAAACTTCAGCGCCTCCGTAATCCGATGTATGGTCAGAGCGTAGGACTCATCATCCGCCAAGTCGGCCCGTGTGAAATTAAAGCCCTCGAGAATGCCCAGTATGTGAGCGACGACAGATCCACTGCTCACCGGCGGCACGGCATACAGAGTGTCGTTGCCCAGTGGCATGGTGACGGACAGACGCAAATCGGCCGTGTATGTATCCAAATCGTCTTGTGTTATAATGCTGCCCAGCTCCTTCAGATCCTCGGCCAGCATTTGAGCCACGGTGCCGTTGTAAAAGTCCATTGGCCCATTTTCCGCTAGTAGTTTGTACGTGTTGCACAGTTTTGCCGGTGGTTTCAGCAATGCTCCCTCCTGGTGGTGCTCTCCCGTTTCCTCATTCAGAAAAACGGATCTACGATGAAGTTTGCTTGATAATCTATCTATCTCATTAGATCTAGCGACATGTACTTACTGATACTGCAAATTATCCTTGATATAGGACCACATCATCTTCACCTTCGACGCCTGATGGTTACTCATTCGATATCCAGTCTCGCAAATTTTTAGAGAAGGCTCCACTAGAGTCCGCCATGGCAGCTTGCCAAAGCGTTTGTGCGCCAAATGATAGCCCATCACCTCGCCAGGCACTGCAATGCTTAGCGGTCCGAAAATTGAGGCATTGGCATCTTTATCGAACATCTTCTGATGGGAAGCATAGGGCGCCACGGCCTGCGCATCGATCTGATAGCCTTGTTGAGACTCTCGATGATAGATATTCATTATTAGGCCACCGCCAATGCCCATGCTTTGTGAGGTCAGCAGTCCATTGCACAGCATTGTGGCAATGGTTGCATCTACAGCGCTGCCATTCCTCTCCAATATGTTGCTGATGATAATGAGACAAAATTAATTCATTGATTTATGAGATTGTTAGACAATGACAGTGACAATGACAATGACAATGACAATGACAATGACAATGACAACGACAATGACAATGACAATGACAATGACAATGACAATGACAATGACAATGACAATGACAATGACAATGACAATGACAATGACAATGACAATGATAATGACAATGACAATGATAATGCAATGATAATGATAATGATAATGATAATGATAATGATAATGATAATGAAAATGGCAATAATAACAACAATAATAATACTTGTAACACTAATAAGATATTATACCTGCCAATCTGACTACAGGCATCCGTATCCGAGCAAACGGCCGCATGCTGATAGACGCCCAATTTGGATGAGAATTCCTTTTTGCTCTTGGCGTCGGCGTCATCCAGTATCGGTGCTGTCGAGGGCGGTGGTGTGGTTGGCGATGTGGAGGCGGCTACAGCTGGTCCAGCTACTGCGATTTCCTCACTTGTTGTTGTTGTTGTCGCTTCCATGTTGCTGCTGTCGGACACCGATGCCGGTGGCAGCGATTGCTCATCTGTTGAATTAAATGGTTTAAGTGTGTGGCTTGTGCTTGGATTGCTTGGTGTTGTTGTTGTTGTTGTTGTTGGTGTGCTTTCTGTTGTTGTTGTTGTAGTGCTAGTTGTTCTTATTGTTGTTGTTGTTGTTGGTGGTGGTGGTGGTGATGGTGTGGATGGTGCGGCTTCGGCAACATCATCTGTGAATGCCGTTGCTGCTGTTGCTGTGCTGCTGCCAACAATTGCAGCTGGTGCTGGCGTTGTTGCTTTGGCAACTGTGCTGTTGGTGATTCTCGCCGACTTGGACCAGTCTTTAGATGTTGTTGTTGCAGTTGTTGTTGTTGTCGGTGCAATTGTTGTTGTTGTTGTTGTTTAGTAAGTTAAGGTGTAAGAGTTTGTTGTCAATACATTTGCATTTGTATTTATTTGATTTTGTTTTTTCGTGCCACAATAGAAGAAGAAGATAACATTACGGGTGGGTGCCGTGGTGCATTGGAGGATAATGAATCGAATGACAAAGGCATGCAAAGCATCTAACTAGGCAACATATTTTTCGTTTGTATTGCTGAAGCTGAAGCTGTGTTGCTGTCTCTCTGTTGCTCTGTTGCTCTTGTTCTTGTACTCGCAACAATCACATACATGGCACTCTTTTTTCTATTCACGTATGTATGTCTGTGCAGTTGGCCATGTGTGTGTGTGTGTGCACGTGTGTACGTGTGTGTGTTTGTGTGTGTATGTGTGTGTGTACAAATTAGTAGGCATTTGGTGAGTGAGTGGTTAGAGATGTGAATCGGGCCATTGTTGCTCAATTGGCTATGATGCGAACTTACCGCTCAAGCACAGGCTGATGATCACATAGCTTATCAGGGCGATGCCAATGAAGCAGATGAGGCCAATTGTCAACTTTTTCATCCAGGCCAACAGATTGGCCCGCCTGCAAAAGCAGAAAAGTCCATAAACTAAATATAGATTGCATATTTCTATATAGATGCATATGCATTCATGTTTATATTTTTATAATACAAATTCTAGTTTAAGAATAATAATATTGATACACGATTAATGTATATACAGTGGAGTCCCGATAATTTGAAATGGCAAGGGAATCTGTTTATTTATTTATTTTTTTTTTATTTATACAGAAATTCAAATTATCGAGAATTATTAAGAACGAATTTCCTTCAAGGGAATAGAATTTTTGCAATTTACGGCGATTTTCGATTTAGCGGTTAACGAATTATCAAGACTCTACTGTACACATGTATATATTACATTAAAAATTGCTGCCCTGAAAAGTATGCTACAATTTTGCGACTACAAAATTGCTAAACTTGCCCATATCTTTTTATTTAATTGATTTATAGCCTGGAGTGAATTTTGATACTACATTTTTCAGCTTCCAAATCTGAAACTGAAATCAGATGGGCCATGCCCAGACGAAGCTTCGTCGACAGCATTAGAAATTCCAATTCTCTCTCATAGCCTAATATATAAAGTATCAATTGCCTTAAAATTTGAGCCAAATCTTAGTTCGGCCCATTGCACTTACATCTGTTCGCGCCGCGCTTCTTCGGCTGCGGCTGTATCCTGGATCAGCTCGTCGCCATTTTTCTCCTCGTCGTCCAGTCCGTTGGAGGACTTGAGTGGAATTTTGTTCATGGCATCGTCGTTGCTGTGGTGAACCATCTTGTGAGCATCCGCTGTGGCTGCTGTTGCTGCTGCGCTGCTGTTGATGCTGATGTTGCTGTTCAGAAAGCGAAAAAGAAACAAGAAACAGAAAAAGAGAGATAGAGAGAGATAGTTGAAATATCTGAATAGAGCTTGATTCACATTCCTGTCTAAATTCTAGCAGTCACACACACTTAAGCACTTACGATTTGTGACTACGCAATATTGGAAACTAGTTTCAGCTCATTGGCTGTTGAGGGACGAGCACTTGAGTGGAGCTTCAGCTAAGCGCTGCTGCAACTATAACGGGAAATGACAGGCGGCGCACGTTGTGGAGTATGCAACAGTTAATGGCGCAGCTCGTTGATATGCAACAGATTTAACACGCGTCCCAAGGCAAACTGAGCGCTGCACAAGCGACGCGACGCGACGCGACGCGACGTCAACAACAACGCCCGCTGCCTGCGTCATTGGCAGCAGCGACGTTGCCGGCAACTTTGATGGCAGGATGCGGTCGTCGGCGTCAGCGTCGCTTTGTTGTTGTAGTTGCTGCGGTTGCATGTGTCTATGTGGGTGTGTCCCCAACCATTTGCCATTTTTCTCAAGCTCGCTCCAGCTCGCTGTGTGCGTGCAACACAAATGGGTCAGACAGCGACGCCAACGCCAACGCCAACGCCGACGCCGACGTCGCCGCTTGCAACTTACTGGCATGCTGCAGTTTGTTGCGAGTTGTCCATAACTATAATTGAATGTTGTGATTGACAGGCCACGGAGCGGGGGCCGGGGCGACACAGATGCAGACACAGACACAGACACAGGCTGAGGCAGAGGCAGAGGCAGAGACGTTGGCGAGCGTGCGCGAGATTGTTGGCTAGTAAATTGGGTTAATTGCCGCCGTATTTGATGTGTGGCACGGGCATCAAATCGGTGGCACTCACAGTCATCACCTTTGCCCTCACATGACCCGGACAACAATGTTATTATTGACATCTGCACTCAGCGGGCGTGTCACGACAGGCACGACAAGAACCACATTAGGGTACCGTTGGGTATATATGGCTTATGTTAAGCGACTGCTGTTAACACCTAACACACGCTGTTAAAGCAGATGTTAACAGCAGAAGCTATTGGAATTGATACATTTTTAATAGATTTCGATTCAAATCAATTATAATGTTTTTAAGATATTCTGGGTACGCCAGAAACCCTTTATTTATTTATTTATTTTTATTATTATTT